ATAACCCAGATGATACGGAGCTTCGATCACAATACAATACTTACAAAAATAAATTAAGAAACTTAATAACAAAAGCAAAACGCGACTATTATCAAAATCAAATAGTAACCAACTCAGCAAACCAAACCTCTCTTTGGAAATTGGTAAGAGAGATAGCTCAAAATAAAAAGAAAAGGAAAATGTAACAACGATGAAGACGGATTCCGGACAACTTCTAATAGATCAAAAACAATAGCAAACGAGTTCAATAATGTGTTCAGTGTAATAGGACCAGCAAAATTAATAGTGACCCAAATTTTCGTCCACGTAGGAAAACATTCCTAAAATCATTTGTTCTTCTCCCAACAAATATTGAAGAAATGAAGCACATCAGGAAAGATCTCAAATCAAAAAAATCTCCCGGAAACGTTGAAATTCGCGCTGAAACCATAAAGTTCATTTCCGAGCATATTGCAGAACCACTAACATACATCTTCAACTTCTGTGTAGCACAAGGTTGTTGGCCAAAAGTTTTCAAAGAGACCGTGGTTACACCTATATACAAAAAAGGAGATAACCTTTCAAAAATATTCGAAAAACTATTAAAGAAAAGATTATTGTCCTATCTTGAAAAATAGAATATTATATCTAACAAACAATATGGTTTCAAACATAAAGTATGTACAGAAGATGCTATTTTAGCAGTCACCTCAAAGATATATGGTGCCTTGGATGAAAATAGTCCTGACCTCTGTGCATTTATCGACTTACCGAAAGCGTTCGATACTGTCAGTCATGAGTTACTTTTACAAACACTAGAGGACATAGGTATCAGAAGGAATTGCATAAAGCTTTTTGAGAGCTATTTATCTAACCGTACCCAGATTGTTAGATTAGATAATGAAGTGAGCGACATAAGAATGATTGAATACGGAGTGCCGCAAGGCACCGTTCTAAGACCTATACTATTTAATATTTACATCAATGAGATGTTTTCGGTCCAATGCAGTGGAGACATCTTTGGATTTGCAGATGACACCGCTATATTTTACAAAGCAGACACTTGGCAAAATCTCGAATCCACCGTAGAGACTGACCTACCAAATATAATGAGATGGCTCCAGCACATGTTGTTAACAGTAAACTGGGAAAAAACATGTTATATCCCCTTTACATGCAATAAATCTACGAAGCCATCGTTTAGTGATATAAGTGTCAGTATAAATGGGAAACAACATTCAATGAAGCCAGAAAAAAGTGCTAAGTACCTTGGCGTGATTATAAATGATCTGAGGTGGGATAAACATACAAACTTCATCTGTAAAAAGTTGCGTACAGTTCTCTCAAAACTCCGATGCATAAAAAAAATATTGACAACCTACCAATTGAAACCTTATATCACGCTTTAGTGGAAAGTCACATAAGGTACGGCATAGTAGCATGGGGAGGAGCTTCGAAGACTTATATCTTCCCTGTTGAAATACTTCAAAAAAGAATATTAAAACTAACATAATCCAGAGAGCCAAGATTTCCATCTGATCGTTTATACAGTGAAACTAACAACCTGGATATTCTACAGACATTGTTTCAAAATTGCCACTAAATATCACTGTAATAAACAGGTCTCTACGCTTCCAATACACCCATATTCAACACGGCAAAAACACCACCATGTCGTACCATTTCTACAAAAGTGTGTATTACTGCGTTCATATACTTATATTGCTCCTAAACTGTACAACAGTCTTCCACCACATCTGCAATGCATCAACAACTTGGCGCCATTCAAGAAAGCGTTGAAGCAAGTCATTTTAAACCAACCAAGAGGATCAATAGAGAATTTACTACATTAGCAATATGTTGTAGTGTAATTATGAATCTGTATTGATCAGGTTACATAGATTTATAAAACGATATGTAATCTGCTTACTATTCATCAACTACCTGTATATTTGTTATGCCTGTGTGATGGGTTTCTTTTATTAGCCTCTTTTTTTTGTTAGTATTATTTGTGCGGTATTATGTTAAAGCGTTTTAATCATTCTTATTTTAATACCATTTTAGCTTACGATATACTATACAGAGTGTCCGCAAAGTTGGGGTTTTCCTTTTCAGAAACAACTACCCTTGAAGTAACAAGTGTAATGTGTAGTGAAACGAGGGCGACCAAGTAAAAAAAATAAAGGAAAAAGTACTCACTCTCCAGTTGACGAGAAGGGCTAAGTACGTCTCTGCCTGAAATCGAAAGTTATTCACCCCATTACGCGTGAACGTAGATTCGTCTGTCACCAATATGCACTTCAAAAAGTCCGGATTATTGTCATGTTGATGCAACAACCACTCACAAAACCGCACTCTTGCTGGAAAATCGTCAGGTTGAAGAGCTTGTACACGTTGGACGTTTGACACACTTTAGTTTTTGATACTTGCACTTCTCTAGCCACGACTCTAGTGCTTGTTGAGGGATTCTCGGTTACGCGATTCAGTTGTTCTTCCTCAACTTGCACCATTCGTGGTTGTCTAGGCCTCCCACTGTGCCCACCTCGAAATTCCTCCAAATGGCCCGTATCCCTGACTCTCTGGACCAGGTACACAAATCTGCGGGGCCTTGGATGATGTCGTCTAGGGAAACGATCTGCATACACTCGCGACGATTCTGTAGCATTTTGAAGACATTCGCCAAAAAATAACAACATATCAACGAGTTCCTTATTGGTGTATGAGTGTGCCATTGTTATTATTTTTTTTTTTTTGAAACGCAATCGATTATATGGGTTCGTTACCTCTAAACGCGTGACCCTTTACCGTCGGTTGAAGATTGCATACTGACCTGACACACTGAGCCCGACCCCCGACCCAGTTCTGTCGTCGGGTTCAGCTAGTAGCCGGTACCAGTCTGGGATATCGCGGCGAGTCGCGGCTACAGGACGGTATTCAGATATGTTTGATGTTGCAGAGCCCTTTATCTCGATTCCCTTAAGACATTGGTGTATATGGTACTAAGAAAAATTGCTTATGTTTTCAAGATCTACACGTCGTGTAAAGGAAAACCCCAACTTTGCGGACACCCTGTATATGTACGTAAGATTACAATGTGTTTTTAGTATAGATATATAGATATACGGTTTCTTTTTATGCCGAAACAAGTGTTATTTTACACTTATCGGCTCATGCTTTATTCATTCATTTTGTTTTTATATCAACTTTTTTCTGAATAAAGCGTATTGAATTGAACTGAATAACAGAGAAGCCCTACAAACAACTCATTCACAGTCAAAATCACGAAAGATGACTATTACGTCATATAAAAAATTATACTGAAGTAATCATATATTATGATTTTGCGAAGTTAGGTTATTTCACTAATTATTTTTATTTTCATTTTATTTCATAGTTTTAATAATAATTTTAGTGGGAAGTTTTTGTTTTGAAAAAAACAGTTATGAGTAGAATACACCCTTAGACAGGAACACCAAAGACCAAAGAAAACAACCCAACCTGCTTTAACATAACCTAACTATTCGTCTTTAAAATATGATCGATCATGCAACATGAAAACATCATCTATCTTTGTCGGATACATGCAAATTAGCAATAGAGTTTGTTTAGACAATAAAATTATGTTTATCTCTGTCTAACATATCTGAAACTTCATTAAAAATATAGACAAATCGCTGTCGATTGTCTTCACTACAGACTAAAATGATGACGTAATCGTCACCTTTAGTGATTTCGACTATACATAAACTTACATTAGCCTTGCTCCTGTAAAATTAAATTGTCCAGATGTATTCCCTGGATAGAATAAAGTCAGCAGATAATCTCTATTCTATCTACGTCTGATTACCAGGGTTTGGCGGTGGAACAAAAATCAAATCCAAGCGGATAACCAAAATTTCCGTATTATGTACCGCGGTTATAATATGGTTCAAGATGACACACGGGATGGTGACGTCAGTTACTCGAATCGCTTGAACGCGTTGGTTTTAACCGCGGTTTGTTGCAAGTTGTTTATTTTAGAAAAGCGCGTATATGATTTCTGATTATTTTTATTATCACTTAATAATCGATGCTTTTTCGTCTACAACGGGGTATGGAAAGTTGAAAAAAAGAAAACTTTCATAATATTAATGGGAGGAATGTTTTTTTTTTTCGAAAAAAATTGAACTGATGGAACCATGGCTTTGTAGCTATGATAACTTTCAATTCTCTAAACTTTTCCGCATGTCAAAGAAAATATTTATTGAAAGAGATATTAACAAAACCGTATACAGGTGGACGTCATCCAGTGAGTTTATACGGCCATATTTTAATATTCTTGTGGTATATGGTTATACAGGATACTTTTTTAAGTGTAGGAACTAGATTTAAAGTGTCCCCAACAACAGGGATGATTATAAATAATAAGGTGCTCTCTTATGCTAAAACTGAAGTCAGCCTGTATCAAGTTTCCCAAAAATGAAGCTGAAGTACAATAAAAATATCCAATACCCGGCAAAATTCTAACTTGTCACATGTCAAATAATAACCAGAAGTATAAAACTACTCGGGAGTTGGGTAAATACTACAATTTTGCGGTGATAACTATGACATATAACAGCTGATTCATGACGTCACGGATCTTATAACCAAACTGATAACAACACTCGCTTGAACGGATCGGTAAATACCAATCCAAAATGGTAAATACCCGTTATGTTCGAATAAATACTTCCTTCAAATATATAATCTATACACATTTTTCGAAGGGATCCACAGGAACTCGAGATTAATTTGGTCACTTCGGCTTCAAGGTTTACATGAAAAAACTATTTTGAGTATGATAAACGGTATAATTTACGTAAAACAAAAATGCCATCAGTCTTATTTTGTTTGTAATTGCACTACAATATAAATATGTTGGAAAATCAACTAACCATTGCAAACAACATTACGCCTCAAGTTCTGTACCCATTAAAACTTGTCAATATCTCATTTGAAGCTTATTACATTTATATCCTGTGAGCTGGCAACACCGCAACCCAGGTGACAAGATTGACAAGGTCAGCTGTCAATTCTAATGTCTAGCACCGGTATTTGTTTTGGTTTTGGGGTTATGACCTATTGTGGATTATTGCTGTGATTTTGCCGGTTGTCCTAGTATTATATCTGGCATATAGCTGGCTTTCCGTATATATGTTTTCGTGGTCGTTTCTGATTCTCGTACATAATGTTACTGCAGCAAGTCAGTTTTCGAAGTGTGTCACTCAACAATTTGTTAAAAAATCTCAATTTGGGCTCTGTATCAGCAGCCCGGTGGAACAGTTCAAAAAAAGATATAATTTTAGGCATAGAAACTTCCTGTGATGATACCGGTTGCGCTTTAATAGACACTGATGGAAATCTTCTTGGCGAAGCATTGAATTCACAACATTTAATACATCTCAAGTAAGTCAAGATACACGTTTATTTGCTGTACAGAAAATGTCGTACTTTAATATGTATGATACATGATAAGACATTGTCATGCTACAGCTCCGACATTTATATTATTCTTATTGTCAATTTATATACAGAGTGTCCCAGAAGTCGACGTCAAACCTGGAAACAGGGAATAGGCCATGTCATATAAGTTATCATAAAAATATAAAAAAATCTAAGTTGTGTATTTTTCAAATTATAGGCTTTAAAAAAAATCAGAAAAATATACACCCTATAATGATGTAGTTCCCATTATTACAAATTTCATGTTTTTTTAGACAGAGTTGACATACAGTGACTTTCTATGGAGTCACAGCAAGACAGATAGTAACTCCACTTTTGTTAATTCATGGTTTTGTAGTGCCACTGCAACATGCACCTCATTTATGGGGAATGTAGATGCAGTGATAGTGCTGCAACTATTCTTTATCATGAAAGGTACCCAAATGCTGATTGTCATCCTGATCTCTAAGTTTTTGTGAATGTCCAGCATTTACTCTTAGAGGGGAGATTCCCAATTCAAGCACATGGTGAAGGAACTATTTCCTCTCCTTAGGAGGATGTTGTACTACAAACCATCGAAGAAGACCCGAGTATTTCAGTACATAAAACAGAAGCAAGCAATGAAGTTCCTAAAAATACTGCCCACCAAATCTTGCAAAAGAATGAGCTCCATCCATACCACATACAGCGAGTAGTACAATCTCTCTAACCCCAAGATTATCTTAAAAGAGTTGAGTTTTGTGCAACATTGTTACAGAGACACAGGAAGATCCGCGATTTTTAGAGATAATTTTGTGGACTAATGAGTCAACATTTAAAAAAAATGGTTACATCAATCTACACAACTTATGCAAGTGGCATGTAGAAAATCCACATTTGATGAGACAAGATAGATCTCTCGGTATTGCTTTAAAGTAAACATGAGGACTGGGATTCGAAATGGGAGAATCATTGTATGCTTTGAGTTGCCAGAGTTCTTGAATGGCGAAATTTATTTACACTTTTTACAAAATCATTTACCAAATTTATGGAAGACATGCCTCTAAGCATTTACAGAAATATCTGATAGCAGCTTGATGCGGGATATTTATTTATCAATTTTATTTCCTCTTGACAAAAAACATCGTCTACTAAGAGACATATGTTTTCAAATCCAACAAAAAACAGTCAAATAGTGAAAAATAAGATTTGACGGCATATATCACAATATTCTTCCACACTGTAAAATTTATTTTCAATTAAATAGTCTTTTAAGAGATTCTTAAATGTTTTTAGTCTGTGGCAATTATTTATTTCGAAGGGCATTTTTAGGCCATTACTAAACTGGTGGACAGTTGATTTGCAAGATGAAGAATTTTACCCAAATTCAAATCTCGATATTTTCGGAACGGAAAGAGATATCGAGTTGCGGTCTTCGGGAGGTTCTTGACCAACTCTTTGAGAACACGTACAGGGTTCGACCGGTATATTTCTTTTATTTATCCACTTATACAGGGTGAGCGAAGGAAATAAAGTTTTTTTAGCAAAGTTTGTGGCTGTCAGATTCTCAACTTTTGATCTTAGAAATTTTTCTATGCCTCTTTTTGATCTTGGGACTATCCTAAATAAGGTAATTTCACAAATTTTTCGAAAGTTGGCTATAACTCAAATTATCATCCTTAAAAGAGACTTTTTGGAGTTTCTCTTGAGAATAGGTATTCTTTCTCATACCGTGCATAAAGTGGAATTTCTTGCGCCCGAATAAAAATTGAAACACTCATAAACGTGGCATGCAGTAAAATTTGCTACTTTGACGCTATGTAATTTAAACCAAATTTATAAATTTTACTATGCAATTAAACAGCTAATGAACAAATCCAAGTTGCTACTCTTCATATAGGGATGTATGTCAGTAGCATAACACCAAAAGCATTTTTTGTTTTGGTAAGAAGTGCTAATAACTTAAAACTTTTTGTTTTTCGAAATGCTATGATTTTAGCCGACACTGCAATTGATCTTATATCTAGTATTTTTTATCTTTCTCATTCAGCTTTGGCGTACCAGTCTTCATTGGAGATATTTTCCAATAAGTATGACAATATAATAAGTTTAAACATCATAGAATTTATTGATTAACATTAACAATATTAATAAATTCTCGGGATATATTCTTCCTGAATGGCCTCACATGGCTCTTCCATTGTTTGAGCAGCATTTTGTCTTGACTGCACTACAAATTTTAGCCGAGACCACACATGCTCAATTATGTTTATAAGTTTATAACCGTACGAGCTCTGTGCGGCCTGGCGTTATCATCGATGAAGACAAAATCTTGTGCAAAAGGTACAACAATATTGTTTAAAATGTTATCAATGTAAACTGCAGCATTGACTGTCCTGTTTGAAATAAAACGTTCGGTTTCACCATTGTGGATGACCCTAGCCTAAACAGTAATCCCACCTCCACCACACGCCTCTTGTGGAGCCATGTTTTCTTCATCATATCGTTCCCCAGCTAGCCGCCAAACAACGACCCTACCATCAGAGTGTTATAGGTTGAAGCATGTTTCATCGAAAAACATGCAATTTTGCCGCTGCTGATGCCAACTTACCTACTCCTATGCCCATTGGTACTTGGCAGCTCTATGGTTGTTCAAGAGTCTGGTAAACTTCGCGCGGCACCTCGCTTTCGAAGAAATTCTTCTTTAAAAAATTACCTATCAATGTTTTTATAACTTTTACATACAAAATCAACAAAATAGAATTTAAAGTTCTTTTTACAGTTACAGTTACAGTTTACGATTGGATGCTATTATTCCACTGTGCCGCCATAAGTTTTCATTCAAGGTTCTGGATGAAAGGGTCATCCTTCACCTTACTTCCTGCAATAAATGTCTTTCGGTCAGACCTCGTATTTTTTTTATTATTTCCACCATTTCCACTTTTCCCCGGTATCCTGATATCTACGCCTCAAACAGCATATTGAGGATTGATCAACATTATAAATTAAAGCTACATCTTTCACTAAACGGCCTTCTCCCAATAATCTTACACAATTCTCTCGTTCTTTTTGAAAAAGACGAGGCATTTTTGAGAAAATAAAATCATACTGTCAAGTCTACACTCAATATTATTGTTACTTAGCAATTGCATGTTTGAGGTGTAATAGGTTGTTAGGATGAAACCGGAGAAATGTCCTATTTGCATAGAGAGGGTAATCCAATAAAAATACGAGCTCGAGCTGAAAGACATTTATTGCGGGAAGTTAAAAATTCGATAATCTGAATTATAGCCAAGTTTAGAAAAATTTGAGATATCGCTTTGTTTAGGTTAGTCCAAAGATCAAAAAGATGCAAAGAAAAATTTCCATGATCAAAAATTGAGTATCTGACATAGCCCCAAACATCGCTAAAAAACCTTACTTCATTTGCTCACCCGGTATAAGTGGATAAATAAAAGAAATATAACGGTCGAACCCTATACGTGTTGTCAAAGAGTTGGTCAATAGCCTCCCGAATACCGCCACTCGATATCTCTTAGCGTTCCGAAAATATCGCGATATGAATTTGGGTAAAAGTTTCCATGTTGCAATACAACTGTCCACCTGTTTATTTGGGCACATGATTTAAATTGTATAGGGTAGTATATAAAGGTCTTCACTAATCCCGGCGGTTTGGTACAATTTCGTGGGCCAGCCTGTGTTCTGCTGATATGATTTTTTTTACTGGGGAACGGTGAAAGAAAAAGTGTATTTACATCTAATCGAAAATTTAGTTGAGCTTCGAGATATAATAACGGAAGCAGCTGAATGTGTTAATAATGGCAGATTCGCCCGTCTGATAACCCGCTCATTTTTAAGAAAATGCCAAGCTTGCGTTGCTGCTGAATGAAAGCGTTTGAACATTTATTATGAATTTAATAAATACATTCACGAATTAATAAAAGTGTAGTTACTATCTTGCTGTCACTACGTAGACTGACACTGTCTATCACTCTGTTTAAGAAAACCACTTTAGCGCTTATCACGAATATTTCATTTAGTAGTAGTAGAAACATTTATTTAGCACGTGTGGCTACATAAACAGAATAATTGTAAATAATTTAGAATTGTAGATTTAACGAGTGATTCCTCAATTTTACTTTGAATTTTGTCTGGCCTTTTATTACAAAATGAAAGATTTGGATGTATGTGACTTGAACGAAAATATGATTTTCAGCACTCCAAATTTCAAAATGGCGGATTAAGGGGTTGCCGAAGTGGACGGTTTTTCTGGACAAAACACCTTACATCTCAGTAGATAATTACCAAAACCCCCATAGTATGTTATATCAATCTTCTTGTGTGCCCTCAAATGTTATGTATAACATCCCATAAATAGATTTTCCCAAAATGTATTTGTTTATGAGTAATATTCCATCCACACATGGATGGGCCACCCTGTATATCCCCGTGACTGGCACTATAGGCGTATTTTTTAATTCACCCGGTGAGCCACCGGTGCAACCAAAATTTCCGTCTGAGTGACGGGTCGTACACCAAACTTGTCTATAAACTATATAGACAAGTTATAGACAAGTTTGGTGTTCAACCGGTCGCCCAGATGGAAATTAAAAAAACAAAAATTGATTAATTGCTTGCACCGGTGGCTCAACCGGTGAATTAAAGAATACGCCTAATTATCTTAGAATGGACGAAGAGACGTATTTTAACCTTTTGTCTCTTGTATCACGTTTGATTCAAAAGCAGGATACGATCATCAACGGACTCCAACTTGTGCAAGCTCGAAAATCTTGGGCACACACGTACCGTTTTGTTTGCGCAAGCGCGCCTAATTCAAGCAAGCATAATTAAAATCAATTCAATCCCCAAGCTGCTTGTATATACAATCACAAAGCTTGCACCACATTTCCCTACAGACATTCAAGCGTGATTGTACAAAAAAACATTGAAAAAACATGCTGGACAAGCTTGCAGTTGTGTCTGTAGCCACCTTTAAAGAGTTTAATTAATTTATGTACTATTCTACTGCGTCAACAAACATACAGGGCGGCCCAACGAAAAGGTCGCACCCCTATTTGTAACTCTCCAGGTATATTTTGGGAAAACCCAACCTTCTATAAAAATCGTTTTCATAAAGCTCATGGACAAGTTTTATCTTGTACGGGTAAAATTTATTGTCTTTCAAAATTCTTTGTACTGTTGAGTGTGTAAATCCTGAAGAACTGGCCAGTCCAGGAGTGCTTTGCGTTTTGTCAAGTGCTTCGTGACCCAAAACTGCTATTTCTGCGACTTCATTTCTAACTGGTCGATTATCTCGATGGCGATTACGGCTAATATTAGATACAGATCCAGTTTCTTCAAATTTTCTTATCAACTTAGCCACATACTTATCATTAATATATTTGTCCGGATATAACGCATTAAAAAACGGGGCAGTAGCTCTTGTAATGCTCCCATTTTGGTAATACAGTTTTGTTATTTCTACCCTTTCTTGAATGGAATAAGTCATTGTTTAATATGTATCACAGCTAGGTAGGTAACTTAACAATTTGAAATAATAGGCAAAGTTTTTCTATGACATACGATGACACTGACTGATGCTAAATGCTCTTGCTGGCATCCATGATTATTTTTTTTTCGTGCATTCCATTAGTGTCAGTATAAAGTTAGTCGATTTTTTTATAAACTCAACTTCAAAACGATTGAAGATATGTATAAACTTTGTTATACAAAAGTTACTAAAAACTTTATGGAAAATCTAAAAATTAAAAAATGGGGGTTTCCATTTAAAAATTATAAAGTGTAACGCAATATCTTATTTTTGGATCACCCTGTATTGTACTGCTATAGATGAAAAGGCGTCCCCTAGAAATCAAAAATGCGAGCGTTTTTCCCAAAATATACCAGGAGAGTCACACATAGGGGTGCGACCTTTTCGTTGGGCCACCCTGTATAAGATAGTGTGGCTGATGCTTGTAGATTGGCAAATATTCTGGTAAATGTCATTTCTTCTCGTTTTTCAGTAATGGTGGTATAATACCACCAATAGCCCAAGATTTACATAGGAAGAATATAGAGAGAGTTGTGGAGGAGGCAGTAGATGCAGCAAATGTTCAGTTTGAAGATATTTCTGCTATAGCTACTACTGTTAAACCAGGTATGTTTCATAACACATAGGACTTACTTAATAATATGAATTCAACCAAGGATCCAAGCAAATTGCTAAAATATAATTATAATCTTCTGTATATGCCTTCATTCCTTGTGATCTGTTTCCCATTCACTAGTCTCATTGATCACCATTCTTCTCCATGTGAGCCTGGTTCTTCGTTATTTTGAGACAAGATATAATGAGGTTTAGGATGAGACCTTACCTGGTTAATGATGCTCTTCGAAATTATTTGGCCGTATGGTTTTTTGTTCTTGGCAAACGAATCAATCATCTGTTTATCTTTTTTATTGGAACGGAAGGGGTATTACGTATCTTGAAGTGACATTACGTGGGTTTTTTTGACATTATTAGGTTTTTTGTGACATTATGTAGGTTTTTCACAAGATGTCAACTTAGCACTAGCTGTTAAACAGGGTGACCAACTAATAATGCGAAGTACGGTATCTCGGATCATATCCATCGTCGAGGCTTGCGACAAAAAAGTTATCATTAAAATGACTAAGTGAAAAACCTGGAAAACATTTTCAAGTTTCTGAAATGGCCGCTAGGGGGCGTTACTGCAATCTCTAATCTAAAAAAGAGGGAACAACATCGAAGATAAAATTTGTTTTTCGAACATCTGCGGGATTAACAGCAACATTGATGCTGTTTATCACTACCTGCAATCCAATCGTCCCGCCGTGCTTTTCTTGGCGGAGACAAACATCTCAGAGTCTGCACCGATTAAACATCTTAACTTCCCAAACTACGAGGTGCACCCCAATCTGAGAAAGAACGGGGGAGTTGTGGCTTTTGTCCGCAGCAGTCTTTCCTGCTCCAGAGATGCTTCTTTGGAATCAGACCGGAAGGACATTCTGTGGCTTCGCCTCAACTCCAAAACATCACCCAAGTTTATTTGCTGCCTTTATCGCTCTCTCTCGGACCATAACTGGGATGACCTACTCGAATACCTCGCCGTCCAGATCGACTTCCTGAACATCAATCATCCCGCTTCAGAGGTAGTTCTTCTCGGTGATTTCAATACCCATAACGAGCTTTGGTTGGGCTCAAACAAGACCGACGCAGCAGGTCGTGCAGTCGAAGCGTTCGCTCTTACCCAAGGGCTGACTCAGCTGCTGCTGCTGTCCTGTCCCCCCTGCGTAACTCAGACCACGGTGTTGTGGAGGTTAGGTTTCGGTCAGAACCCGTGTGGCAGCAGAAACTCGTACAGGCCGCAAAACTTGGCAGGACATGCCGGCTGGGAGGGGCTCAGAGATTTCTTCTCTAGCTTTTCTTGGAAAGATGTCTGTCTCACTGACGCGGATGCGTCGGCTGTCTGTTCTTCGATAACCGAAATTATCCACGTCGGAATGGAGGAATACATCCCTCACACAGTGAAAGTGCCTAGACCAGGGTCCAACGGCTGGTTTAACAAATCGTGTGTCGCTGCTCGCCAGCAGAAGATCAAGGCACACAGAACCTTCTTACAAAACCCCACTGTAGAGAACAGATAAGCCGACGTTGAGTCCAGAAACAAATATAAAGCAGCGGTTCGCAATGCCAAAAACCAGCATGATATAAAAGTTAGGCACAGGGTAATGTCGCAGCGCAATGGCAGTTGGTCTTTCTGGACGCTGGCCAAGCAGATTGAAAAGAACTTCTCACAGTAGCCTTCCACCACTTACGTGTCAGGATGGAACTATTGTATTCAACTCAAAGGCCAAGGCGGAAGTGCTAGCCAAGATCTTTGCTGCCAACTCCACCAACGCCCAAGTGCCGTCAATTCAAAGGGTTCCCTACACTATGCGGGAGGTAACATTCAGGCATAAGACCGCAAGACGAGCACTCTTGTCGCTCGACATCAACAAAGCTTCTGGTCCGGACTTGATTCCTGCCATTGTACTGAAGAGGTGTGCACCGGAGCTTGCTCCAGTTCTTTCGCGTCTCTTCCAGATATCGTATAAATCCGGCACCTTCCCAGAAAACTGGAAATTTGCTCATGTCCAACCCATCCTAAAAAAGGGATCTAAGACCGACCCTTACAACTACAGTCCTATAGCTCTGCTTTCTGTTTTAAGTAAGGCGATGGAGAAGTGCATAAATCGCGAGCTTCTGGACTACCTCGAACGTCACGGCTTGATTAGCGACAGGCAGTATGGTGTCCGGCACCAACGATCCACAGGGAACCTCCTAGCTTACGTCACTCAATTGTGGAGTAAACTCATCCATGGTGAGGCTCATGTCTTTGCTCTTGACATCACGAAAGCTGTGGTACGCTGCCCTCTTAAGCAAACTTCCATCCTATGGCCTCCCAGAAAAGCTTTGCAGATGGGTGGCTGACTTTATCTCTGGCCGCAAGATATCCGTCGTAATTGAAGGGTTCTCCTCTTCATCCCACAACGTCAACGCGGGTGTTCCCCAGGGATCGGTCTTGGCTCCGACACTGTTTCTCTTACATATCAACGACCAGCTCTCGTGCACGATCAACCCAATCCACCGCTTCGCTGATGACAGCACTCTACATGCAGGAATTCAGAGTGACAAGCCGATCTCTGCCGCTGAGTTGGAAAAAAGAAGACTAGCGATGACTTCGTCTCTGACGAGAGACCTGGAGGCTATCACTGCTTGGGGACGCAACAATCTTGTACAGTTCAATGCTTCCAAAACGCAGTACCGTACTTTGACGAACAAAAAGCGTCCCTGCGCTCACCCGGTTTCGATGGATGGTCGAGTTCTGCCAAAGAGCCATTCATTTCGGCTGGTCGGAGTCCAGATCACCGAGGACCTGATCTAGCACGAACACATCTCGTCAATAGCTGCAGCTGCTGGGAAAAAGCTAGGCTATTTGTTTAGGGCTAAGAAGTACTTTTCTCCGCATGACCTTCTCACTCTATACAAGGCCCAGATAAGGCCTAGCCTCGAGTATTGCTCGCATGTTTGGGGTGCTGCCGCCCCGACTACATTATCTATGCTCGATGCTCTCCAGAGGAGGGCGGTACGACTGATCGATGACTCTTCTCTAACACACAGTCTCGGGACTCTTTCGCACCGGCGGGCTGTCGGCGATCTGGCTCTTTTCTACCGTCACACCAACGGGCTTTGCTCCTCAGAGCTCTCTTCCATGATGCCGTGGCGCGATGTGCCTGCCAGATAGACCCGCCTAACTTTGGCGTCCCATCCTAACCGTGTCGAACTTCGTACATCCAGAACCGGCCGATACGACCGCTCCTTTGTCCCGAGGGTGTCGAGATTGTGGAACAATCTACAAGAGGAAGCTTTTTCCAATTCTATTAACCTTAGGCAGTTCAAAAATCGTATTAATAAGATTTCTTTGGGATCATCATAGCAGCCGCGGTGTTCCGGCATTTAGGCTTCTGCCTCCGCGGCTGCTTCGATATAAAAAAAGATGTTTCTGTAAACCCCTCTATATTAACCTAACAAAAAATACCTGATATATAAATTCGACGATAATGCTGTATCTCTAAAAATAAAGTGGTGGGGCGCATTCAAAGGTTTCCGTAAAAAGTTTTGTTAGTTTCACATGTAATCGCTAGAGGGATTTTTTTCTACATTCCGACAGAAATGGTTAATTTTCTCAAAAACAAATTAAATGCATTGGTATGATATTTTTATGAAAAAGTAGCTAAATGGTGTCTAAACAAGCTGGCGAAATCCGCATCTCGATATCTTGTTAATAATCTAAGCTTTAGGCCAAAGAAAATTTTATACCCTTTATTTTTATTTTTTAAACTAATTTTTCTGGAATTTCCTTTTTTTATAAAGTTGTGGCCCTAAAAAGGACCGATTTAAAAAGAAATGTTTTAAATGCCCCCGTAAATGCTCAAAATGCTGACCATCACGCTATATGCATTCCTGAAGCCTCTCATCGGTAGAAAAACTGCAGCTATGGGTTAAGTCTGAAACACGATGCCCTTTAACCGCCCCCATAAATGAGAATCAAAACAAGTTAAGTCTGGTGATCGCGAAGGCCATGGAAACAGACTTCCTCTTCCAATCCACCGCTGTTGAAATACTGCACTAATATGCTCTCGCACAATAATTGCAAAATGTGGTGGGCAACCATACCAAGGTTTGTTAGCTCACATGTGGCTGCTAAAGGACCTTTTTCAACATTCCGACAGAAATGGTTAATTTTCTCAAAAACGAAAACCGCATCTCGATATCTTGTTCTTAACCTAACGTTTAGGCTAAAGAAAATTTTATACGGATATCCCTTAAATTTTTATTTTTTTAACTAATTCTTCTGGATTTTTTTTATTCCTCAGAATAAAATCACCCTTTTTGAAAACATTACAAAATATCGCTAAAAAGAAAGTAATAGTAAAAGGCATATTTTTTGTTTAAATGCATCTTCACTGCATATACGAAAAAGACAATTAATAGAAGCAGGCCATGGAATACAACAAAACAAATACCTAATCAAAACATAAATAATTAATTAATAAATTTTCAATAGTTGTCAATAGTTTCACATTACTTTGAGCAATTTTTGTGCTTACCAAGTGCGTTTTATGAACGATGAAGCTCTTGATATGCTTGCAGTTTTTTTGAATGTCTTCAGAGTGCCGCAGTGGAAAATAGAGTTTACGCGACTCGATATCCAAATCGGCGTCTTTGCGATGTGAGAGTTTTTCCCCGATTAGTGGCGAGCTTTCGCGCCAATGGTAGTTTTCGGCCTACGTTTCAACGGCAAAGAATTGGAAGAACACAAGAAAATATTAACCGCTTACTGGGGTATATTGAAGGAAAACCTCATGTTATCACACATCCCTTGAGTTGGGCATAATATAACGAAAAACGGTTCAAAATATTTTGAAGGACCATAGGCCATCAAAATATAGGGATTTTTTCAATTTTAACTTTTTTTAATTACTTTTAGAATGCATCCATACCATGTTGTTTTGCAGCAGGCAGACTTTGATCGGAGGTTGGACTATTGCCATTGCCACCTTTAATAGTGACGGGAGAGTCAATCTGCACAATATGCATTATTGCTCTGCAGAAAATGCGCATTGGTTGCGTGAAGTTCACCATCAAGGGCGTTGGAGTTTAAATGTGGATGAGGCATACTTTGAGGCAGAATTATTGGACCATATTTTATCACTTTTTTGTCTTTCTTGACTTTTTGGACAATCAATTACCGTTGTTGTTGGAAGATGTGCCACTGAAAACACGACAAAACTTCTTTTTGCAGCTGTATGGTTGCCCACCACATTTTGCAATTATTGTGCGAGAGCATATTAGTGCAGTATTTCAACAGCGGTGGATTGTAAGAGGAAGTCTGTTTCCATGGCCTTCGCGTTCACCAGACTTAACTTGTTTTGATTCTTATTTATGGGGGCAGTTAAAGGGCATTGTGTTTCAGACTTAACCCACAGCTGCAGTTTTTCTACTGATGAGAGGCTTCAGGAATGCATATAGCGTGATGGTCAGCATTTGGAGCATTTACGGGGGCATTTAAAACATCTCTTTTTTAAATCGGTCCTTTTTAGGACCACAACTTTATAAAAAAAGGAAATTCCAGAAAAATTAGTTTAAAATATAAAAATAAAGGGTATAAAATTTTCTTTGGCCTAAAGCTTAGATTAGGAACAAGATATCTAGATGCGGATTTCGCCAGCTTGTTTAGACACCATTTAGCTACTTTTTCATAAAAATATCATACCAATGCATTTAATTTTTTTTTTGAGAAAATTAACCATTTCTGTCGGAATGTCGAAAAAAAGCCCTCTAGCGATCACATGTGAAACTAACAAAACTACAAATATTATAACATATGTAGCCCAAGAATAGCACTTTTCAATTAGCCCAAGTTTATTCAAATCGACTCAGCCGTTTCGAAGATACAGGGTGTTTTTTACGGAAACCTTCACTTTATTTTTAGAAATACATATTTTTTGTTATATACATTTCTCCGCATGATAATTTTCTATTTGTAGATCCTTTGGGCTTGAAGTACCACAACAAGTGGCTATAACCGGCCGCGTGGTTGTGGTTAGATGCCGCCTTGAAAATTCGAGGTCTTCTAGCCATTTTATGCTACAGTGTGTAGGTTGGCTCTTGTTGTGGACTTCGTGTGTGATTTTTTCCCCTCTCCATCTTCGTTTCTTCAGGTTACACCCGTATCCGGATGTATGAGCATGTGTATCTACTTTTGTAGTTCCATATGTACATTCATTTCGGGCCTGACGAAGCCAACCAGCAGAAATACGTATCGCTCGGGTTATCTATCCTATGTTCTGCTCGAATCCACTTTCTTTCTTTTTGCGGATTTTGCCCATAATTTTCTATTTGTAGATCCTTTGGGCTTGAAGTACCACAGCAAGTGGCTATAATCGGCCGCGTGGTTGTGGTTAGTTGTCGCCTTGAAAATTGGAGGTCTTCTAGCCATTGTATACTATAAGGTATAGGTTGTGTAGGCTCTTGTTGTGGACTTCGGGTGTGATTTTTCCCTCTCCATCTTCGTTTCTTCAGGTTTCACCCGTATCCGGATGTATGGGCATGTGTATCTACTTTTTTAGTTGCATACATATGTGCATTCATTTCGGGCCTGACGAAGCCAACCAGCAGAAATACGTATCGCTCGGGTTACCTATCCTATTTTCTGCTCGAATCCACTTTCCTTCTTTTTACGGATTTTGCCCATCATTTTACTATTTTTTTGTTACATATCTTTCTCCGCATGATAATTTTCTATTTGTAGATCCTTTGGGGTTGAAGTACCACAGCAAGTGGCTATAACTGGCTGGTTGTGGTTAGATGCCGCCTTGAAAATTCGAGGTCTTCTAGCCATTTTATACTACAGTGTGTAGGTTGGCTCTTGGTGTGGACTTGTGTGTGATTTTTTTCCCTCTCCATCTTAGTTTCCTCAGGTTACACCCGTATCCTAATGTGTGGACATGTGTATCTACTTTTGTAGTTGCATATGTACATTCATTTCGGGCCTGATAAGCCAACCAGCTATCCTATTTTCTGCTTGAATCCACTTTCCTTCTTTTTGCGGAGTTTGCCCATTATTTTACTATTTTTTGTTATATACCTTTCTCCACATGATAATTTTCTATATATATATTACTAATTGTATAATCATGTATAAAAAAAATGTGCCGACGACTTTATTCCATCAGTGGATCCTCGTCTTTCGACATCAAATGTTCTTTACATTATTCCGCTCTCAAACTATATAGTGGTTTTTCAAATGGTCCCCATCCACACATTTTTTGAATGGGCGAAGCTAGCAAGCTTAAATCAGGGTGACAATTTCACGATGGCGCCTGGTCACATGCCTGGCGGTTATTTTGAGAGATACTGATCTTATATTCGGGGGTTATAAAGAGCTTAAAAATTATGTATTCAATTTACAAAAATATTCCGAGATGGTCATTTGGAAATTTTCACGCTAAAATACAGGATCCGGCACAAAGGACGGATGTTTTTAAAATGGCTAGTACTCTCCGCCTATTCGGGCGAGAGCGATGGGAAGAGTGCCGTTTGACTCGGGCGTTCCTAGCATTTTTACCAGTAGACATTATGGAACAGTGGACGGTTAAGCACCGCTTTTTCGCGTACGACAGTTTTGTCCGACACAATGAGTCTCTCACGGCTGTACAGAGTGAGTATATTCATCGGAATCGAGCTGTTTCTTCTGGAAACACCATCCTTCGTTGGGTTCAATCACTCCGCATACCTGGTGTACTGATCAACAAAATACCACCAGGAACCTCTGAAAATGTGGAACGCGTTCGACAAGCCCTCCTTCTGCTCGGCAACATGCTGCTGAACTTCGCCTCAGTAATCGGCGTGTTTTGCATAATGGAACTCCACTTTCACCCCTACAAATTGGCCATTGTGCAACAGTTACAGCCTGGAGATAACGCAACAACGAATGAACTTCGCATGTGAGATGGAAGCAGTTATCGTGCAAAATGAGAACCTCGTTTTGTTCATGAGTGATGAAGCCTTTCATCTTAATGGCATGGTTAACCAGCAGAATTGCTATTATTGGGCTAATGAAAATCCGCGACAGTTACATGAAAGACCGCTGCACACCCCAAAAGTGACGGTTGTATCGCAAAATTGCATCATCGGCCCTTACTTCTTCGAATACGGTAATGGCACAGAGCAACGATGGACGTTATTCGCCCTCTCTTCCGTGGTTGCCTTACTTCCAGGTTTGTTGATGTTCGCTGGCCTCCTCAGTCACCAGATTTATCCATAGGCGATTTCTGGCTGTGGGGTCACCTCAAGGCTCGTGTATGCGAGCACAAGCCCCGAACTCTGGACGAGTTGAAGGAGGCAACTCGCGTGCAAGTCACCCAAGTTGAGATAAGGAGGTTGGAGAGAGACTACGCGAACTGTCAAGAACGCCTCCACCAATGCATCGCGAAAAACGGTCACCACATGATTGTTGTGATTTTCCACACTTAATTGTGGTAAACGCTAGAATATTCAAGCATTGATTTCATCACCTCAAATCTCAGCCTGCTAACTTGATCCGTTCAAAAAATAAGTTGGGGCGCGGGGAGACCTTTTTGAAAAGCACTGAATGTTATTGTAGCAACAAGGGAAATTGAGCAGCCAGATTAAATTATCTATGAACACTTTTGTAACAAAGACAGGAATGGGTTTAATAGGATACAAAATTCATTTATTAAGTTACTAATACTCGAGTATTTCGATGATCATGGTAAAATATGACTATACAAGATGGTCCGTAATGAATGCGAAAAAAATCCTGGATTAAACCCGTGAAAATGATGATATTGATCGAAATATGCCTTAGTAGAAACTCTCTTGTTAATGATGTTAATGAGAGTTTTAAGAGGGTCACTGGTAATTCGCTGTATTACTTCCAGGACGTGATGGGGGGCTTAAATGCAACAAATTTCACCTTATACATGGTGCCCCAGAAATAAAACGCCAGAGTGACACGGGAGGTAGATTGGCTTCAGATCATATCAAAGATGAGTTGGATTCTGTCTATGGGAACTCTGCACCATCATTTACTACGTGGCCGTAAGACGATGAACGTTTGGGACGTCCAAAAACTGCAACTACAGACGACAACAATGCCAAAGTTCACCAAATGGTGCTAGACGACCGCCGAATTAAAATGAGAGAGATAGCAGAGGTGATGAACTTGTCAAAAGAACGTGTTTATCACATATTATATCAACATTTAGGCTTGAGAGACCTGTCCGCGCGTTGGATGCCGCGTTTGCTCACGTTAGACCAAAAACGTGTTCGAATGAACATTTCCAAAAAAAGCAAATACTGTTATTTCGGCTGGGAAAGTGATGGCGGCTATTTTTGGGATAGTCATGGAGTTATTTTAATCGATTATCTCCAAAAAGGAAAAACCATTACAGGAGCATTCTACGCATAATTACTTGACAAGCTGAAGGCAGAGCTTGTGGAAAAATAAAATCCTGTTTCAGAAAGACATCGCACCGTGTCACACCTCACCGGTTTCCATGGCGAAAGTTCACGAATTACGGTTTGAACCGCTTGACCATCCCCAAACGACTTCTTTTTGTTCCCTCATCTAAAAATTGCGCTCGGAGGACAGAGATTTTCGTCAAATGAAGAGGCAGTCGCCTTCGTAGAGAAAAATGACGAGTACTATTTGGACGGGTTACAGAGATCGGAGCATCGCTGGAAAAAGTGTGTAGAGTTACAAGGATGTTAAAAAAAAATCAGAAAAAATTTCTTGCATCTTTGTTAGGTCGGAAACTTTTTAGACCACCCTCGTATACCTGAGACATTGACCAATTTCCGCGACTTCCTTCATTTCTCAACATATTCCACTCTTAACGAACTGTTCTCGTGCCAGCCATTTTTCTGTGCAGTAGGATATTGAAGTGCAAATATCTCAAAAAGGGTTTTGTTAATCGAAGTAAATTCACGGTACCTTTTCTACTTGAAAATCATCGCTCATATAAAACACTACTAGAACAATGGCATAATGTATCGAGATTGTAGGCTACAACCTAGCTACAACTAGCGTCATCTACATACTATGCATCTTATTAACCCTCTGATTCCCAATTTCCTTGTTCACATTACAAACACAGCTCGAGTTGTACAGGAGAAATGAATTTGAAAATTTTAAAAAACCTTCATTAAAGTTCATTAACGACCAAAATTTTACTAAAGCATATTTGATTCAATATCATTTTTGTTTTTCATTAGCTTAGTCCAGGATTGTTTTCTATTTGAGTGTTATTGCACCAAAATCAGCCAAAATAATAAGTACTTCTGACTGCTTTATTTCCCCTTTAAGCTAGGCAGCTGATGTGTCCAAGCTGGGCGAGTGGTCTCCGTCTTTCTCGGCCACGGCGTTGCCAGATTGTGGGCTCTGGCATTCATAGGAATCACCGGAAATGTTGCTGCAGTCTCCCTGTCCAGATATGCCCTCTAGCTCTACATCGTTCTCATCATTGGATTGCTCACCTTATAAAAAATACGTAACGTTAGATACATTGCAAGGGTTTGACCTTTTTACAGACGCTAGTGACAGAAAAAATAATTATAGCAGAAAGAATGAACACTAGCTTACAAAACAGGATAAATTATGGTTAGACAGGTTATTACTGAGTTTAAATTAGGTCATCTCAAGGTACGTTCTGTTTTCTCCGATTTTGATGCTGTCAGTGAACTTATTCGATTTGATGACTGATATATTTGCTATCAGTGGAACTTGGCTTACAGATCTCATTCCGTCAGAGTCTGTCAGCATCGCTGGCTATAACTTTATCCGTAAAGACAGAGGATCACGTGGTGGTGGGATTGGTATTTATGTCAAATCTTTTTTAAATGTAGAGCTTCTTGATGTGGCAGTTAACGATCTTCAGTGCTTGGAGCACTTATGGATTAAGATTACATATAAAAAATCAATCACCAACTAGGGTGGCAGCTAGCAGTAGAAGCCTCTTAGATCCAATATATGTAAATCAACCTGGATCATTTACTAATTGCCTTACTTTTGATGCTCATCATATATCTGACCACAAGATGGTCTCGTGCACAATGCAGATTCCGCCTTATCAAATGAAACAGAAGTACATATCGTTACGTGTTTTCACTAATTTCGATGAGGCATTGTTTCTACGGGACCTTTATGATCTTCCATTTGATGATATATTCCATCTGCAGTCAATAGACGAAAAAGTAGAATTCCTCAATAATTTGATAACTGAACTCTTCAATAAACATTCTCCGTCAAAAATTATACCAGTCAGTAAACCTCACGCTCCATGGCTTACTTATGGGCTTAAGCAAATATTTAAAGAAATATATGCTGCTCTGTCTAACCATAAAGCCAAAAAAACTCGGGAGAGCTTCTGCTATTATAAGGAGTTGAGGTATTTCGCTCTAGCTTCCTTGCGGCGTGAAAAAGCAGCTTATTTCTCACATCTGCAAAGAAGCAGGCTGTCTAAAAAAACCTGGGCTGCATTGAAGAGTATCAATCTTAATTTTTCTTCGAGGCCTCTGATACCCGATACTCTCAATGATGCAAACTTGATCAATGATTATTTCACAACTGTTTATGATGCGGGTGAGCTAGATGACGATACCTTTAATTTCTACAAACGTAGCAGGTATAATCATAATTTTAAATGTTCGTTTAAAGTCGTTGATACCTATGCAATTTACAGAATCATCCAGCAGATTAAATCTGGTGCAAGGGGTTCTGATGGAATGAGTTACACATTTTTTGAATTTATGCTTGGAAATTGGTTATTTTCCACAAGCATGGAAACATGCTTTATTAATACCTGTTCCCAAAAATAGTAAGCCGGAAGCTCTCTCTGATTTGAGGCCTTCTGCCATTATTATCGAAAGTTCTGGAGAAATTAGCTCAGCGACAAATAATCGAGTATCTTGAATTATGCAGAATATTAATAATACGGGCTCAAGATAAAAATATTGCCTCCATGTTGGTCTCGATCGATTACTCTAAATCAGAGTTCCCCAAACTTTTTTGTGTCGTAGACCCCTTGCCATGTTTTTCCGTGTTGGGTAGACCCCCTACTTACCTAATATTGATTTCCTGTAAATTTCTAACTGTAGTGAAGTTTAGTGTTAAAAACTTAAAGTAAAAACACATGTTAATTTATACATTTATTACTTGAATTTAAATTAAAACTACTCAAAATAAAATTTTGTATCTGTTATGTAAAATATACGTAACATTAAATAAACAGGTGTCTGGCCAATAAGTGCCCGCATTGGGAATAAGTGCCCGCATTGAAAAAAATAAGAGGGATACAATAAAAAAAAGTGAAAAATAATAAAAAAAAGTTTTTTACTTAAAATAGTGCAATAAGCGAGTTCGTTTATTAATTATAACATAAACGTATGTTTTACAATAATTTAACTGTTAGTTTGATTAAATTCCGCTTCTTATACGTTTAAGTTGTCTAAAAATAGGCAAAAAATTAACGAATTTTAGTGTGTACCTATCCTTGAATTTTCAGAATAATTTAAAAAAAAATATTTTCTATAAAGGGGGTTCTTTAAAAAAATCAATGCGGGCACTTATTCCTTATTTATTGGTCAGACACCAATAAACATAAAATAAACTATAAATAAAGTAACATAAGCAATAAGTCAATATTTTTAGTGAGAAGGATGAACCTGATGCTTTAATAATAAATTATCAACATTTGGCGTCAATTTTGTAAGGGTTAATCTTAAATCTCCTCGGCTAATGATGTCCAGTCTGTTTCTTTTTTTCGTTAGGAGATTGGTAACAGCGCTGAACTCCCTTTCCACTAGGTATGACGATGAAAAGGAAATTAAAAATTTCCTCGCTATATTCCATAATACGGGATAAGATAAGTAACGGATATGTTGTTTTGCAGCCAGAATTGCTGATATCCGTTTTTAAACTGAACCTTAAGTTCTTCGTTTGTACTTAGTACTTAGTTCAGTCAGTTCCTCTTGTATTATGACATTCGTTTCTTCTGTCACCATATGGATTAATTATCCACGGTGGTATTACCATAGTCAAAATATCCTCAAACCTAGATTCAAAATCTGAATAGAGGGCATTTAAATGTTGAACGTAAGTTGAAACGTCGTCTTCCTGGCAGCTTGTCTGTGACAAATTGGGGAACTGAGAAAATTCGCCCCGTCCAATATTTTGCTTCATTAGTTTAACTCTGGCAAGAAACGCTGATAAGATGGACTTTGTTTAATCAAATTTAAACTGTCGCCTTGTAATTGCAAATTAACCATATTGAATTTTGTAAACAAATCTGTTAAATAGGCGATGTCTGTATTCCTCTTCATTAAATTTCCTTTGAAAATTTTATCTTTAGTATCCAGAAATTCTAAAATAGTCTCAAAAAGTGCAAAAAATCTTGTCAAACATAAGCCTTTCGACAGCCAGCGTACTTCAGTGTGAAGGAGTAATTGATGAAAGTGTTCGTCATTTTCTTCACACAACTGCGCAAATAACCGTGTATTCAACGCGTTGCTTCGGATTCGGTTTACTGCATCAATGACTAAATGAAGTGATTCATGCAATCTAACACAAAGTATTTCAAATCTTTCTCTGTTTTATCAGGGTGGTATCTTCTCAGATGATGCAGTTTCATAGCGTCATTGCCCAAAACTTTGTTGCATAAAAGGCACATAGCCGATTGTTTGTCCGGCAATGATGGAATGAAGCCAAATTTCAAATAATCAACACTGTACTGTCTACATTTCTTTTTAGATTCGGACATGGCATCAGTCATCTGTGGGCAAAGTTAAATTATTTAAATAAGACAGAAAATCCAGCAGCTGTATATTAAAAATATTTTTTGATTTTTCCGAAAACATTCCATAATTCGAACATCTTCTTGCAACAATTAGCTCGAATTACGGATATTGCACTGTAATTATATTACCGATTTCTAAAACTTTCAAAAAGAAACTATTGAGGAGTACTCGTGTAATTTTGCATGATTGAATATTTAACTACTAATAACTAAAGTCATGATTGGCGTAATTTATCTATCTTTGCTAACTACGAGTACAAAACTAAAATTTAATAAAAAATAATGTACTTACTTTTCTCCGGCACTCTGAAAAAATAGCACTGACTCACTATAATTTGTGTGATATACTATGTGTTTATATTTTTTAAAATATTTTCTTACCACTTTCCTTTTCAAGATTCAGGAAACGAATAAACGTATTTGTCCCACATTCGTATTTATAGAGTGGCGAATTGAACAAGTCAGTGCAAGGTAGCGAAGCTCTGAGACTGCGACTCTCAGGTTTTTACAAGTTCAAAATGTATTGCGACCACAAAGCGAATACCAATATCCTACAACTTACACAATTTTATAAACATATATAATAAATTTTTTACTTCATAGGTACTTTTATAAATAATGTATATGTTTTGATATTATAAGATAGTATCATGTAAGTAAATAGGTACTATCAGTGTATGTGTTGAGATCCACTATCGTGGACCCCCATATTCATTTCATGGACACCCAAATTTTTTTTCGCTCACGTAGACCCCTTGCAGGTTGTCATAGACACCTAGGGGTCGATATAGACCACTTTGGGAATCAATGCTCTAAATCTAAAGCATTCGACAAATTGAGTCATCAGCTGCTTCTTGCTAAATTGGAGTATTTAGGTTTTGATAATATATCTATTATATAAATTCAAAAGTCATTTTTCTAGCATATTACAAAAATCCTATTGGAAATTACGTGTTTTATATGCAAATAGACGTGTTCTGACTTCTGCTTTGCGAAAAAAACTTGCTGAATCCCGCATTCTTCCAATTATCAATTATTGAAATATTCTTTACCAGCCTTGCTTGGATCAGCTCACTAAAAGACGTTTACAAGTGATTCAAAGAACTGCCTCAGATTCACGTGTAGTTTAAGAAAATACGACCATGTTAGCCATGCTTACAACAGTATTGGATGGATGAAGCTCGAGTGTTTGACAAATTTTCATTATTTGGTCTTCCTGCATAAGCTGCTGGCATCTGGTAAACCCAAATACCTAAGAGAAAAACTTATTTTTTCTAATGAAATACATAAAAAAACTCTTAGATATACATTAAATATTAGAATAACCCATTATGTCACCTCGCTTTTCCAACGCTCATTTTCCTATAATGCTGCTAGTCGCTACAATAATATTCCTGATGATTACAAAACCATGAATCTGTCTTGTTTCCGTAAGCATGTTAGGCTATATTTACAGAGCTCTACATTATAATGTTTCTTCTTTGTCTAATTTTTGCTAATAATACATTTATAAGTTAGTTTATGGGCACATATGCTTGTAGGCATGTAAATTAGGTGCTTGTTTGATTGAACTGCTTTCAACACTATTATGACATTGTAATAGCCAAACTTTATTTTTGATTTGTCTCTCCTATACCATCTTCTTTTTTTTCGTATTCATATGGTTAAGTGTAAGAGTAGCTTTACCTAAACTTCGCCATAATGAATCGCACTCTGTATCTTTGTAAATAAAGACGATATTATTATTATTACTACTTATTTTATAGATAGTGTAAATCAAATAGTGAAGACGATTGGTGATGGTGATCCAAACTTATGTTCATTACAAGTATATCATAATTCATTAATGAATCAATTTAGCATAATAAACATCAACAATCTAAGAAAAGCTATATCAGAATTGAAATCTAATAAAAATCCAAGTGAGAATCTCTCAAAAACGATTATAAATGATTGTTTCAACATAATTTGAGACAAATTATTATTAGTGGTGAATCATTGTTTAGTACATGGTGAATTCCCATCAAAGTTAAAGTGTTCCATCATTACTCCTGTGCCAAAAGTTCAATATTCTGACCTATATACAACTATGCGGCCGATTAAAGTTTTGTTTGAAAGGTCTTTCGAAGTCCTTTATTTTGATGTTTAATTTTGCAAAAATTGATTCGTTTTCGAGAAATTAGAAAAATCTTTATTTAGCTTAATTTGTTCAGGTAGAAAACAAAAACATACGAAAATATCACTTTTTATTTCAATGTGTTCAAAATGTTGCCCATTATAGGCCAAACAGTGATACAGGCGATGTTCAAACTCCTGACGTTTATTTTTAAAAAGATGTTGTAGGATATCATGGCAGCTTTGCTTAATGCTAAATAAATCTTCAATAAACAAACAAACAAATGCCCTCCGTCGACCCATTTATATCATAGAAGTTCGTAGAACAATCAGATGATGCGATGACAAGATTGAAGTAGGGAGAGAACACCCCTGTGCGTTAGAGCTTGCTCGGTTGACGAGTTATGGTAGAGGGAGCGTGCCATTTAACCACTCCCTCCCTCGGCATGTCACCTTGATTTTTATTTCTCGCATTATTAATCTTCACTACCCAAGTAAATTGAATTTTGCAATATCATTCGCATTAACTAACCTTTTGTGTATGATTGTTTTTAATACACAGGGTGTAATTTAATTGTTGGCTAAAAATACAGGATATGATTCCTTGCTTGATATTAGGAAGAAAAGTTTATACGAACATATTTCCTAAACCTCTTAACTTTTGAGTTTTGAGGTGTTAAAATTTTAAGACAAGTGATTTCCTCATAGGACCGTTCTTCCTTCCGGGACGATTGAAAATGATTTGCCAATTTTGCTCGAAGATGCGATTTTAGCATTCATGCTAGGGAACCTCTAAATGAAGCTTTACTAATCGCTGGATAGGACGTGGGTGAACTCAGTTTTGGCCTCCCAGGTCCCCTGATTTAAATAGTTTAGACTATTTTTTGTGGGGCACCTCAAGCCTTTACTTTATACTACACTGTTTCAAACCGCAGAGGAACTAAGGCAGAAAATTTTACTTTCTTGCCAAACCATAAGAAATACTCCTCGAATTTTTGAAGGGGTTCGCCAATCCATGAGAAAGAGAACTGAAGCCTGTATTCTGGCAGAAGGACGACATTTTCAACAATTCTTTTGATTATTAAATTGAATAGTATTAGTTTATTTGATCCGCATAAATTTTCAAACTTGTTGCAAACTTGTTTTTTTAATTTTCATGCATTGCAAAATCGCTAAAATATGATGTGCTAGTTTGTAGGTAAGAGTTTAATTTTTATTCAAGTAAAGTCAATTGATTAAAATAGCCAAAATGATTTTTATTTTTTACGCGAAAGTGGTGCATCGGACGGAACAAAGTAAAAAAGGCCAATTTGTTGCAAAATAAATGGGGGATTTCAAAACTGAATTTTATTTTCGGAAAAAGCAATAGCCATACTTTACAATATCTAAAGCAGTATTAAAGTTATAAGAAAACGATTTTTGTTTTCAAATTTTAACACCCTGTAACTCAAAAGATAAGAGGTTTAGAAAATATTTTCATACAGACTTTTCTTCCAAAAATGAGCTAAGGAATCATATCATGTATTTTTAACCATCAATTAAATTACCCTCTGTATTTTTATACGTACTAGTAAATTCCATATTGTTGCCGCATTCAAAGTCTTCTATGAGATGTTCTGGTTCGCTAACGTCGCTCTCGCTGCTACTGCTGCTGCTACTGGTCATTATCAGACTTACTGCCGAATTGAGCAAATTCGGACTACTTATTGACACTCCTATACCTCCCAGTCTGGAAGGATCTTCCATGCTATTTTTTTCGCCGTCCTCATGACTTGGAGTGCTCTTTGATCCGCTTACCTTGAACATATAATACTAGGGAATATTAAAAGATGATAGCTACAATAAAGGCACGTTTGTTGTACTTCAAGGCCCAGTGTTGGGTACTCTTTTATTTAAAATCTATTTGAATGATGTATTCAAAAATCGGATGACAGCACGAATTTCGCACCTGGCGGTGACGCCGACTCCATTGCGCATGGCTGTCGCGCGGTACTAAGCATCACAGATAGGCGCTTCTAGCTGGGAACAGTGGCGGGGGAACAGGCAAACACGACGGTATTGTCAGATTTCACCAAGCATCACGCGCGGAAAGGGTACACCTTATTTTTGAGACCATCCTCGTATATTTTTCCTGTAGCGGTGTATCAGTGACGACACCGCCGCAGACCAGTTGGAGTTTGTTACCCATTGCACAGTCGGCAGCATCGCGTCGTGCACGCAACGCCAACAATTGCCAAGTTATTTCGAATCATGAGCACATTATACATTGGACTTTTATCACGTAATTTTTCCGTTTTTACCGGGCTCAGAAGCTTCTTAATGATCGAACGTCTTCGACTAATAGTCTAATCATACTGGGTGTCCAGGAATAAATTTCGCTTTTTAAAGGCTAATAAAAAATTGTATTGAAATTTTAAAATTAATTTATTGGAGCAAAAATACACACAATTAGGCGGATTTCATGTTTTAAAAATTATATTGTTGAGATGCCTTCCATTTCGATCGAAACACTCCTGCAATGCCGTCTTCATGTGGTTAAAGACTGCTAAACATAATTCAGGTGTAATTGCTCTAATTTCTTCCCATATTTTTTGTTTTAATTCTTGTTAAGGCCGATTAACATAAACTTTACTTTTAACGTATCCCTACAAAAAAAGTCCAATGTGGTGAGATCTGGAGACCTAGCTGGCCAGTTTAAGTCTCGAAAGCGAAATATGACCTTTTCCGGGAATAATTCTCGAACGACTTCCATAGATGCTCGGGCTGTGCGGTTGCGCCGTCTTGTTGAAACCCGGTTTCTTGATCAAAGCCATCAAATTCTTGTAGTTGAGGTACCAAAAACTCCCGAAGCATTGCACACGATCACTATTTAGGGTCCTTTCGTGTTTTTGCCTTGGATTTTCTGGAGCCCAATAGCGACAATTTTGCTTATTAACTGCGCCTGGTCGTTTGAAAAAAAAACGGTTTATATTATTGTTCCGGTGAAGGAACGACGGTTTATAAAGTCATTTGGGTTTAATTCTTGCTCTATTTGGATCTTATAGGGATGAAGCTTTTAATCTCTCCCTAGAATTGTATGAAAAGATGATTTATTACGTAATCCCACTACCCGTGATGTTTTACAAACAGATCCTTTTGGAATTTTTATTATAGCGGCGCGTACAGCTTCAATATTCTCAGGAGTAGTTACAGTCCTTGGACGACCAGGGTGTTTCACATTTAAAGTTGACGATGTTTCTTTAACCTCTTAACCCACGATTTCACTAAATTTTTACTTGGTGCGTCCTCCACACGCCTAATATTGAAGTGAACACAAAACTTTCGTCTTGCAATTGTGTACAAGTCACTGTTCTTGGAATATGACTCAATAATGAACGGACGATGCGCATCAGACCAACGCTTAATTTATACTAAATAATCCGCATCGATCCACTGTCGACGCCGACCGCGCTAAGTTACACTGTTGCCAAGTTATTCGAGTTTAAAAATGGAAATTTATTCCTGGACATCTTGTAGTAGACGAAAACACCCCTGGTTTGCGAAATAATTGTAAAGTCTACTTTTATTGACGGTTCATTTAGTTCTCCAAATTAAAAAGAAAATAATAGAAGAAAAGGAGCTTTGTGGATTCGAACCTCCGTCCTGCGGTTCAGCAATCATTATTCCTCTCCACTACACTACGACGTCTCTTGGTTTTCTGGACCTTTATACCACTATACCTGACATTAAAAAATATCAACGAACGTTGGAGGCATATCAAATCTGTTATTAACTCTGGCCACCCATCGAGTTCGGCGCACGACGCCTGGCGGTCGAATCTTAATTTTTTTCTCTGTATCTCCGCCAAGAAATATTATTGAAAGTTCTATTAATTCTCGGTAGTCGTCTCTACCAACTTATTTGGTCAATTCATGTCGATAAATTCTAGCAGCTTGCCAGTCTCTGAAATATTCAGGCATGATAGCTTTTCAGTATGAATCTGTATTTTCTCAAGATCCACACTTTTCCGGCTCTCGAGAAACTTTTTAAACATTGAAATGTCAGGGTTTGTAGTCACTTGGTCAAACACGCCTTTTAACACCATTTCGTAGACGTGATGCCGGCAAGCAAAATATGCCTTTTTATTAAGTTTCTGTTCGAGAAGCACTCAGGCACCGTTAATGCGACCCATATTTGAAACAGTGGTATCCCAGCAGTGAATCTGAACTTTATCTTTAAGATTACAGTCAATGGTAGCATCCCAAAGTGTCTGAGCCTGCTCGCTGCCTGAAGAGTTATCCAATTTGGGCACAGCGATAAGTTGTTCTTTATTTTCATACGTTATAACAATCGGTAGACGTTCTTCTTTAGACTTGCGTGCATTTAAAGGTGGGAACAATTTGCCGTCCCAGTGTACAGTTACAGTATCCGGTACCTTCGCTTTGGATATCAAGCTTTATGCTTCTGTGCGCTCCTTTCGCTTTTCGGTACGAATTCTATGAGTGGCGGACTTGCTTATAGTAAGTGTTATTTCCAAGTACCTCAATGGTTGCTAAAATAATAAAAACAGCATTTCTCATACTTAACTGACAACTATCTAAGCCTGCCACGGATTTTGGAGTTATGAAGCTTTTCCTCATTTGAGTTTGGTTAGTATCAGGCTGTGTGCTCTGAGTTGGGATGGACAAAGTTTCTTGTAAATCTATCTCGGAATCTGAAGATGAATTGTCTTACACTGGTTCGCAAGTTGATGTCGAACGATTTAAGCAATCAACATATTTAGTTCGCCGCTTTTGTTTTTCGGTGTTTCTAAGGCGCGTTTTTTCTTCTTTTATGGCTAATTTCTTGTCCATCCCAGCTAAATGACCAGGTCGACCTGGCCCTCTCTGCCGCTGCAAGAAGATCCTTTCTTCATTTATTTTCATCATCGGCATGCGCAATATCAAACAGATTCGTAACAAATTCTTGTCGACGTTACTCAAACACTTATTTTGTTTTGCTTGCATTTTTTGCAAATCTCTCTAAAATTGGTATAAAGTAATTAGTTTCTTAACACAGTTAGGTAGAGATTTAGCCGGTATACGTGCCTTTCCCCGTAAATAATCCTCTCACGTATCGTAAGGTTGGCACTCTCATTGACACTTAATTCCACTTCCCGGATACTATAGAACAAAACTGCTAACGCTTGTCCATTAGAGGGAAGACTATTAAAAATATTCCCTTTTTAGATCTGCGTAATGCCTTCGACGTGTTGACTGAACGAAAACAGTGCGTTTACTAATATAACTAACGAGTACTGCAATACGTTAGCTAGCGGGTGCCTAATATGCATGTTTTGACATGTTCCAAGGCAACACGGCACGGGTTCTAGGTACATAAAACTTTATTTACCATTGTTTTGACATTGTTCAAGCAAAATTAGAGGGTATGTGTTTGAATAAAATAACTTTCATTTTTTTGGGGCACCCTAATACAGGGTTTGAAGTTAGTAATGGATCAACAGACGTCAGGTGATAGAGGGCCTCAAAACCTATCGAATGAACCCCTATATGTGTGGTACAAAATTTTATAGTGCAGGAGATATTTGCAATTTTGTGACATTTTGAAAAAAAACGAGATAATGAACTTATCTTATATTACAACTAAACCATTAGGTTTAGGGCTGTGATTTTTTTTTTTGAGATGAGCTAAATGGCTAGTTTTACCAATGGTTATGTCACTTTTTAACAGAGCTTATTAGAAGTCAACGCAAAAAATCTTAAATTCATCTTCCATCTCTCAACTTTGGAGGGCGGTAAAAAAAACTGAGGTTGTATTTCATTATTCATTATACTTAACTTTTAAAGAACATGTTCGAAATGGCCTACATTATGTTCTATACACAAGCGACACCTTCTAATAAAATTGTCCTTTAGTCTTTGAAGTGGCAGCAGCGGTGGCCGCAGTAGTAGACTCTTCGGTCTCCTGATCAGTCGCCGTGCGCTGTGCGGGTTCGAGTCCCGTCCCAGAAGAAACTTTTCTCTTGGCTATGGATGTTGTGATTGTCCGTAGGTGTTAGACGGCCTCTGACTGTCGAACGTGGTGGTACCACCCGGCGGGTCTCGTAGGCGGAGCCAGAATGTGTGCATGTTGCATGCACACGTGTTCACTCGCCAGAGTCCGTGTGGCGTTCCCCCTTTCCCCTGTATCCCCCTATAGCCCCACGGTACCCAATGGGTGTTTAGGCCTTAGGCCTTCGTGGTAGTTGGAGTATAAAAAAAATGAATTCGCGTTTTCCATAATTTTTATTTTTGCTTCATCAATTTTCTGGCGCACTTGGTTGACATTTGTATAGTCAGATGTATAGTTTTTCCTCTTATAAAACTCCATATAAAAAGATCTAGAGGATTTAAATCGGGTGACCTTGGAGGCCATCGTATGTGTCCATCTCTACCTATCCAACGCCCAGGAAAGGCACTGACTAAGTAATGCCATACATCCCGTGCTAAGAGGCATGATGCACCATCCCATTGAAAATGCATGCGGCTTCGAACGCCTCTAGAAGCTCATGCAGCTTTGTAGAAAAGCAAGATATGACTGACCATTCAACCTGGCGGGCAATTCATCTGGTCCAATTAATTTTTTGTTGAATTCTCCAGCCCATAGATTAACGCCGAACTGACGTTGAAAGCTGTGCCGGCGAATGGCGTGTCGATTTTCCACGCTTCATGAATGGAAATTGTGCATGTTCAATTTCGGTTAAAGTTGGATGAGATGCTGTCGAAAAAGCTTCATCCTCTTCGCATCTTCTCAATATATTGTCACAAAATTCAACCCGTTGTGCATAGTCGCTT